TATTCTGTGTATGTTTCTTCCAACCGTTGGTGGTGCTGTTGTTCTTGGCTCCACAAACGTCACCTTAAAGCTTTTGTTAACAGCAGATAATCTGAAGTAGATGCCAAAAATGAAGCCTTATATTGATATCTTTTCATCTTTTTTAGCCCAGCTGGCACATTTATTAAATTTATACATTCAAATTTAGTGGCTTTAATATGATTTTCCAAGTAGTCTGAATGTGTATAATGTTGTTAGGCATTTACAGAGTAGTTAACAGAGATTTTATTCCTCTAGCTAAAAGTATAAAGTAAATGTGCTGCTTATGCTGATGAAAGACGTTCTTAAATTAGTGAACTCCTTCAGTGCTTTTGTTTTGTTTTTTTCAATGGATAATTGTCATTACAAAGCTGCCATGCACTTATGTATATTTGCATAAGGAGCCAAAAATAAATATAAAATTTACAGATGCTTGAAATTGCCACCATTAAACATTTTCACATTATGATATTACACATTCAGGTGTGTGACTGTTTGGGGGAGGAAAGTGTCAAATGTCCTTACATACCTGTTAGCACAGGTCTGATTCCTGCCTCTGTTAGTCATGTCAATTTAGCAGAACAAATGTCACTAATTAAACATTCAAATTACTGCCACATTTTATGACTTTGAGGCTTGGCTTGGACTTTATTTTGCCTGCTTTTGCAGCCCAATAGTCAACAGCCTTGAACTAATTAAAAGGCAGTATAGTGCAACCAAACTGAATCCATGGCCTCCTAAAGCTTTAGAGTAAAATTATAGTTCCAGGTGGAATAGGAGCTACTTTTCTAACTCCAGGAAGCCATTCATGCAATCCAACATGTAGTGCCCAGAAATCTTCAAAAAAGGTTTTCTTATTTAATTATGCAGTAATGCCTTTATTCTGCACACCAGGATTACATTCTGTTCCTCTCAGGCATCATATTTGTATGATGTACTCCCAGCAAGAAGCCCAGGCACTTTAAGAAGGCCATGTGATTCACAAGCATGTAGTGGGTTTAAGAGGAGTGGCGGCGTGGTCTAAAGCAAATGGAAGCGTGAAGCATCATGTCAGTCTGCAAATATAGCTCTGAAATGTGCCTGTCCACTTGGAAGTGATACGTCCATGTCAAAACGTGTGCTCCAGGCGTGATGGATGACATGCACGCACCTATCAATCATAAGCATTCCTGTTTCCCATAATAGATCAACATTCATCCTTTCATTGCTGCCAAAGGCCCTTGAGCTAATGGTGCAAGTTCGAGAAGACCAGCGGTGTAGCAGCAGTGTCTGAGCTGAAAGCAGTTGACCCCCGAATGTGCATGTGGTTGCATGAGGAAACTCTTATCCAACACAACAATAGATGCCAAAATGGAAAGTAATATAGATTGAGTTGTTTTCCCAGTCACGGCTTGCATGAGCTCTGGTGTGTTAAAATATCTAATCAGGGTTAGCAGACTTAAGCTGCCACATGTAACACTTGGATAAAATTTGGCATGTATTTGCATTTGGATCATATGCTCTAAAACAGTCTATATCACACAGAAACAGAAGCTTAAACCAACTTAATCAGAAACACTTCATTTCTCACTGTGCCAGTAAAATGCCCTAATGTGACCACCATATGGTTAATCAGCTAGCTATGGAAATTTGGGAATCAAAATTGTGCTTAAAGGATTTGCTTAATTCTTGCTTTTTTCCCGCCATTGTAATTACAGCGTTCACTGCCTGTGGCGCTGCTCGCATTGCTATCGTAATGTGTTCTTATTCCAAAATAGGTAGATATTTATGAACACAGATAAAAAAAAAAATACAAATTTTAAACCAAGAAACCTTCACAAAAATGCAAATGGGCCTTGCGTCAGGGCATTTTGTCATTCAGAGTCATATTGAAAATGCCCAGCTCTAATACACTTGCCTGAAGGTACACATTGTCTTATGATATTCTGTCATATGTATTCTGGCATTTAATCAAGACTATTCTGCCCCCATTTTTTTCTTTTAAACAATGCAAATTGTCCTTGTGATTATATAACAAGGTCTATTTTGGGTTTTTAACTAGAGAACAATCAGGCACACAGCAACACATACGGTTCTGTAGAAGGATAATAATTATCTTCCAAATTTACTGCAAAAAAAAAAGGATAAAGGTGATGATTCCTGTTTTGTCAGAAGAATGCTTTGGGGCTTCAAGGTCTTGTTGTTTCAAATGTAACATTGCTTATTATGTTCACTCCAGTTCTTTTTTATGATTCCTTTCCAATTATTTAATATTGCTCTGACAGGCTACAGCCAAATAAAACATGCTCGTTATATTCAGAATTAAGTAGAGGTCATAAACTGTGATTTACGACGTTTACTTGTTTATACCTTCTCCTTCCCCTGAAACATGCTCTATCCCTGACCTCCCTGAATGTTTTCTTCTAATTTAGCAAGTAGAATCTGTATAATAATCTGTGTTTGACTGTGTTGTAAAGAAAAGGATATACTGGGTTTCAGTATTATACATATTCTAAAAGCAGTATCGATCATTTTCAGGGGTGGCTGGTATCCATTGGCTAGCAGAACTAAGCCCGTCAGTCTTGCAGAGATAAAAAGACATTGATATCGGGTTTCATTTTCACTATCCACGTCAAATTACTGTAGTTGCTGTTAAGAGATGTCTTAAGGTGGATTATTTTGCAAATCCAGTTATTTGGGGAACGATATGAAGAGTGATATGAAGAAGTGACTCTGGGACTGAGTTCTTTCTATTTCAGACTGTAGATTCATACAGCTTTTTATTGCTTTAAGTGGAATAATTTGTCTAACATCATTCTTAATATGTCTCATGATTTAACGCATTGCCAAACCCTAATAGCTTCATTCGCAAGTAACTGAAAGATATTAGTATTAGCTAGTATCACTACATGCCATTGTATAAAATATTTCTAACAGACAGTATTGCCGCTGAGAACAGTTCTACTCCGTAGCCAACTGAATTATTACATCAATTTCCACATTTTCATTTTGGGATTTTACTTTGTCAGGGCCTTCCACAGGACGGCGAATCGCCTGTAGGTCAGATGGTGTACTAATTGGCATCCTGGCAGAGACAGCCCCAGCCCAGTGAGATGAAAGGTGCTATATGAGCAAACGGGCTCATCCTCTTGCTCCAGGCTTTGGACACTTCAGTATTTTTTTTTTAATTGAAAATATTATGTTGGCTTCCTGCTTCAAAAGTACACATTTCCTACTTGTCATGCTGATGGAAAGGAGGACATGTGGCTGCTGGGCATATTCTTTGCCTCAGTGAAATGATTGAGGCAAATACAGACTGTGGTTGTGGATATAATGATGGTTATCTCTAGGATTGAGAGGAAAGACAGATGGGTACTGCAGGGGGAATGTTTGGAAAGGGAATTTACAAATGGTGTATTCAGGCTTTCCCAGAAAGAAGGGACATATTTAACTGATTAATGAAAGAGAATATCTCAGAGTAACAATGAGAGCATTTGTTTGATGAGCGACATTTGATACACAGATCAACTTTGTGCTTGTTACTTGGGCATCATGTTAATCGGTTAATTCAAATTTTCATTGTGTTTAATATCCATTAGCTTCTGAAATATATTGGCGTGTGTCCACTGTGGGTAAAGAAATCGAGGGCAATGTTCAGCTGATGAAGTTGTGAAGTTATGCTTTTTCTTTAAGCATCATTTATTCATACAATTTCTGCATGAAACATTCAGAGAAATGAAACCTTAAGGGACAGCACACAGTACTTCATTCAGCTCCCCACTCCTCTTCCCTAAACCCGTCCCATGCTCTCAGAGCTTTCACTCAGCTGAGTGAAAAGTCCTCAGCTGTTCTGTTTCAATGCGAATGGCTGATGGATGTGGGTTTAGGACATTGCTCTATAAAGTAATCATGTTAATACTGAAGATTATCGTTTGGCACTTGACATGTCAGGTCAAAACTGATGACTGGGCCATTAAATAAAAAACTTTAGCTTTTAACACGTTAAACTTTGCACTTTATTTCCCTCGATTTTGGAATGCAGGCTATGCAACAAAAAATGTGTCAAGCTCCAGCTAAAATTGCTTACATAGGTCTGTATATGCAGCTGACATTACTGGCATTTAATCATTCATTTATGGCTGTATATTAAAGCACATTCATTAAAATTTGTTTTGCACTGGCACTTTTCAGACTTTTGATTAGCATCTGTACTAAACTTGAATATCTCATACTTCTCTGTCCAGTCATTTTTAAACATTCTGTTTTCATCACTGACTTTTTTTTATCAAGCTGCTGTCTATAATAAAACCATGAAAAACCTTTTTTGATTAACTGCCTTTGGCTCAATTTGCATAAAATAATGTGAGTGATCACAAATGAGCATCTGCCGCAACCACAATGGTTCATGTTTAAAAATTGTAGCTGCTGAACTACAGAAAGTTTATCTCATACATTGATCTCTTCTGCTGCATATATTTTTCATGTGCACACTGAAATACTGTGGTGGCCATTTGATGACCCCTGTGTTAAAGCCAGCCAAAATGAAATCAACACAATCTTCCCCACATTCCATATAGAATCAAATCATACAGTTTGGTGTCTACAGTTTGCTTCTTTAGTTTGGCTGGAGAAACAAGAGATTATTGCTTTAGCTACACTAGCCTTGTAGTTAAATAAATAAGCCCTTCGGTGTCCTGCAAAATTGAAGCAAACTAAAGAAGTGATAGCTACCATTTTAGCGTAGTGAAAAGTGCATAAATTGTAAGGCACCTTCTTCAGAATGTATTGCCAAGATTAATGCCATTTGTACATAACCACTTCATATAATAGCAGAACAGGACTGAATTTAAAAAGAATAAGAATATAATTGTACCCATATTTGAATCACTTCTAACATTAAATTATACTTAAATAAAGATATATATATTATTTGGGGGGGGTTAGGGACAAAAAACACTTTCTACTCAAGGAATAACAGTTACTACTTATGGAATACCTCCTGTTCCCTGGTGGTCTAGCAGCTAAGGATCCTGTGCTCTCACTGCTGCAGCCAGGTTCGATTCCCGGGCAGGGAACCCCAACCACTGGAGGTTGCACTTACTGCTGGTTGTGTCAGGAAGGGCATCCGGTGTAAAAATTTGTGCCAAATCAAATATGCAGTCCAATGATCCACTGTGGCAAACCCTAAGTCCAGAACCCTAAATCCAGAAGCAAAGGTCACAAGCCTTGAGTAATCAACTAAAAAGGAAATTGTTTTCACTATATTATTGATTATGAACTGAAAGAACCATTTGCGTGATGCAGTTTGGCACCTTGACATATACTGTCATGATCATATCAGTCTCTTAGAGCAATAATTGTCTAATTTATTGTTATATGGTACAATTAAGCTGTCACATTGATATTTATCCCTGTCAAATATGATCTTTTATTATATGGAACCATTACATATGGACCAGAAACTGAGTAGCGTAATTGCCTCAAAAGGTGTATCAGCGCAAGTCTGAAAGGTCAAGAGGAGGAGCATATTACGCTTTCCTGCTGCCAACGTTCTTCTTCTCACCCGCACACATTTGTTATCAGACAGATAGGATCAAATTGTTTCTTTTCCTTGCACAGATAGACAACACTAATCCCAAAGTCATATGCAGTAGCTTCAGATCAAATGCTCTTTAATCTGTGTAGATCAGATAACCTGCTTGTGTGCTACTTCCAAAGCCTTCTGATTTCTCTCTTAAAGTTTACTTCTTTTGTAAGATCTCTACTCGGTCCACCCTCCATATTTATTTCCCCTTTGTCAGCCTATTTATGAGCCTACCAGAAATTAGGACAGATGAAAGAAGTTGATAATGGAAATGATCCTTGGACTCATTTAGCATGCATATCATCAGTCAAAGAGTTTTCCCAGGATGCAAAACACAGAGTGGAAAAAAGTAGAAATTAAACTGTACCAGAAAAGTAGAAGTACACTGTACCAGAAAGTAGACACACTTAAAGCACTCTTGGGTCCATGAAAAAGCAAAGCTATTTAAAAGCCATTATAAAAAATCTTCTAATCATTCATTTATCTTCAGTAAATCCTTGTCAGTGTCTCAGTGAATCTGGAGCACTGTGCATGAGGCAGGAATACAGTTCGAATGGGAAGCCAGTCCGATGCAGGACACCATACACATACATATTCACATCTGGGGGCAATTTATCTTAGCCAATCCACCTACTGCTAAGTTTTTGGGAGGTGACAGGAAACCGGAGAACTGACCAGTTCATTTTTCGAGCTTCACCTGTCTAGTATAGTGAGCCTACGTCCAGCGTAGCATCAGGTTCCCTTTCTTGGCTAAAAGGAATGGAACCAAATGTGGTTTTTAGCAAATCCACCTCAAGCATGTTGGTTGTTTTGAGATGCTTATCTGCTCAACATGCTTGTAAAGAGTGATTGTTTGAATTACCATAGCCTTTCTGTCAGCTAGATACATTCTCCTCTCATCTCTCTCATCAGCAAGGCATTTCTCTCTTCGGAACTGCTGCTCGCTGAGTTTTTTAGTTGTTTTGTGCAGCATTTTCTGTGTACACTCTGTGTGAGAGTGTTGGGTGTAAAAATCCCAGGAGCTCAGCTGTTTCCTTTATACTTAAACCAACCTGTCAGGCACTAACAACCATGCCACAGTCAAAGTCACTGAGATCACATTTTTCCCATACTGATGCTTATTGTGAACATTGAATGCTGCCAGATGATTGACTGTTTGGGTAATTGCATGAATGAGCAGATGTAAAGCAGTTCATATAAAATAGCCTGTGAGTGTAAATATATATTTTGAACAAGGAATTAGAATACTAATGGAATTTAACAAGAGCAGTGTCTCTCTGTATTGCTCAGTAGGTTTTGCCTCTAACCTTCATTATATGGCTCCAGCCAATTGATTGCTTTTAATATTAATGAGGTATCATTGCCTGCTGTGGATTCTTTCCCCCACTGCTCTGCAGTGACCCCTGGCACAGCAATGCCTCAGCTGCTCTGATTTTTAAAATGAAGATGAGAACAGTTGCTCAGTACTGGTGCTGTATTGTTTTGAGAGATGCCCCATAAAGGGGGCCTCTCCCCCTCACCACACACACACTTTTCTGGAGGCCAAGTCAGAGTTCTAAATATACCCAACATCAGCTGAGAGCCTGGCTGGACTTCATCTGACCTTACAGTGTGATGTAGGTTAGAGAGCCCCCCTAGATTTACAGGCCCAGATACGGGCCCCGCAGCCAGGCCTGTGAAATAGCAGTAGCATTTGTCTTCTCTGTCATGGCACAGCTTCTTGCATGAAATTCTCTTTCAAACACAATCATGTTAAAGCTTGCAGAATGTTGAAAGAATGAAAGAAAACAGTCTACACTTCCCCCAACGGACTGCTTATTAAAATCTACACTTAGTAAGGCACATACTCCAGTTTGAGCGTATTTGTTGTCCTCTGGGGCTGAAACAATGAATGTGCAATTTCTGAGCTCAGTTGCTCAGCATAGCTCAAATCTAACATGATTAATAACCACAACGCACTACAGTGGCGGTCTTTATTAACATATTATGCTTTAGACATTTTCATGCCTGAAGAAAAGTACCAGTATAGCGGTAACATGGCAATGCCAAGCTGTCAGTGTAGATTGGCTCTCTGCATTTCTGTGTATATGAATATTTGTGCATTGATTTCCAGTGGGAATGTAAACGTTTGAAACAACACGGTACAATCAGCATAACTGGAGCAAAATTTAGTCACTGGAGTTCATAGAGTCTCATCTTTAAAAGTTATTAAAGAGTTTTGTTTGAAGTGGTTAGTGGAGAGTAATGCTGTAATCATGTGCAAGAGGGAACTGGGAAGTTCCCAGTAGGGAGTTTTTCCAGAACTACTTCTCCGAGTCCTGATACTGTGATGTCTCTTTAACATGGCGGCGTTCATAGTAAAAATAAGAACAAGAAATAACAATGTGAATTAAGGTTTTTACACAGTTTTTTGAGGTTTTATCAAACTGCTCTTTCATGTCATTTCCAGCACTATGCACAGTAAATTATCGCGTCCACTTTAAAACAATAACTCTTTAATTCCAGTTTATATTCACTTTAAATGTCAATAAGCTGTGTTTGCTGGAACACTTAAATGTAGGAAGTAGTAGATTCAGGGTTAGAAAATTTCAGAGTTACCAGTTGTACAGTAACTCAGTAACTTGTGTTCATGGCAGTGAAACATGAGCATCATACACAAACCGGAATAGATACCTCAACTTTTTTCACCTCCATTCTCTTAGAAGTATTCCACATGACATGCAAGGCAGTGACGGACTTACCCTGGACGGTCAACCAAAACAGAGATAACGATTAGCAAGCAGACCAGACAAAAGCTTAGACCGCAAAGGGCTTTTGCTATGTCCACCTCAGCTGGACTCATTCCCAGTAAATGCAAGAGGGTTCGTATTTCCAGAATTGGCCAGTACGAAAAAAGCAGGGCTGTAAAGTAATAAAATACTAACATTCATTGGGTTCTAAGACAGATAAAGTTATACACCCATTGTAAAGGTGTAGGTCATTTCCCAATTCAGTCCAAAGCAGTGGTGTTAAATGGAATTGAGCTGAGTCATTATTATTGATGTAATATTCCTTGACTTTATTGGTTTGTCGTGAAACATCCTTGCACTGCAGACAAACAGCCATCAGTGTTTCCTCCATCCAAATATAAGTGCAGGAAGCTGCTAGCTGACCTCTTCACTCTGACACTGAAACATGTGGTGAGCGTGACCTATAGTAATGTGATCTGTCACATCCCCTCAACACATGTAAGCACCTGAGGTCTTAGCATCAATTAGTTTTCTTCTGTGGGGGTGCTGATGGGTTTGTTCATAGATGTTTTGAGATATACAGATATCACCGGCTTGTGCTTCTGAAATAGAAAAGAAAAGAAAATAACAGATGCTAGGTATACCAGAAGCCAGAAAATGACATTGTCTGTGCACACCAACATACAATCAATACCACTATAGCAGCCACTTTACAGAGCACAGAGTGATTGTAAACCTTTTATGCAGCACCATGCTTCCAGCCATCTTGTGTTCCCACCACGCTTCATATTAACCAAACCCACGTATGGGTTGCCTCTCTAACTAGACATCCTGTTTTGGAAAGCAAGCCAAGATTAGTGCATTATACCTCTGAAATACTCAGTGGAGGCTGTCTGAGGCTGATGAATCTCTGCTCTCATAGCTCAGCTCTGCTTACAGCTAGCGCAGTAGACTGGTACATCAGGTACATCAGTTCATGTTTGGGTATGAGCACACTATGGATTTGCAGCTTTTAATATCTGTGTGATGGCATGGGTTGGTGCTCTGTCACCCTGTGGGAATGAACAGGCAGTGGCTATACAGATGGTACCAGAATGGATCATCCTCATCACAAAGATAAGAGCAGAGAGGCTTGTCATTCCAATACCATGCCTTTCCCCACCAGTTGGATGCCTCTCGAATGGTTCCAAAGGATGGCACCCAGGTTTTTGAAAGGGGTGGGAGGATTTTCCATCCTGAATTTCAAAAGCAAGTATCTCTCAGCCCAGTGTTGGCCATAGAGCTGAGGCATAGTGCAGCGCTGGCACATTATGTCTGTTGGAGCATATTGCAGTATTGGCAGCATTGGATGATTGGGTTGTGTCCCAGCATGAACAGCTTTCTCTTAGTTTATACTAAATACACTATTCTCCAACCTGCATCTAGGCTGATGTGGATTGTCTGATATCGCATTGCTCCTGTTTGAGATGCCTGGCACTTTAAATACTTTTAAAATGTTTCATATTACTATAATGAGTTGTACAGGTAGGAGGATCAAGTGGCTGAAGATCCGAATTGGTTGAATTTTGGCCTAAATATGTGATCAGCCGATGTTTATGTTATCTGGCCGATACGGTGAGCTGATATGACAAAAACATGAGTTAAGTCTTGCTACATGTGCTGAAAATAAATACAAAAAATGATAAGAAACATGTCATCAGTATGCAATTTTAACTGTGTTAGACCAAACTAATGCTATTTGCGAAGCTTGTAATAAACGTAT